AAGCTTTGCAAATACTTTAATTATTTTTTAGAACCTTCCATCTCTTTTGGCTAACAGTTTGCAGTTAAATAAAAAAAAAAGTGAGTGAAAGTGACGTGACATGTGGCCAAGTATGGTGACCCATACTGGGAATTAGTGCTCTGCATTTATCCCATCCTAAGTGCACACACACACCGTGAACACACACCCGGAGCAGTGGGCAGCCATTTTTGCTGCGGCGCCCGGGGAGCAGTTAGGGGTTCGGTGCCTTGCTCAAGGGCACCTCAGTCGTGGTATTGAAGGTGGGAGAGAGCGCTGTACATTCACTCCCCCCACCTACAATCCCTGCTGGTACGAGACTCGAACCCGCAACCTTTGGGTTATGAGTCCGACTTTCTAACCATTAGGCCACAACTTCCCCCAAATGAAAGAACCTATTAACCTTACAGAGTTAGTAATAACCAAATGATTATAGAGAAATTACTTTATCATATGTGTGCATGGTGCAAACATGAGGGAGGGGTTAGCAGTCACTTGTGGGGAGTGGACTGTTTTTCTTTCTCCTTGTTGACTCAAACAAGGTAGACTGTCACAGTTTGACCATATCTGATCATCCTGAACAGGAATATGTCACGTATTAGACAAACCAGTAAGGCCTATGTTTACAAAAAGGGTTTTGTTACAAATACTGTGAATTATTTCATAAGGTATTTTGCAAATACTGACAGCTATAAAAAATATGCTTCTGAATGCAATATGAACGAATTCTGCTCAGAAGATTGTTTATTGTACAAACTTTCATTTAAAATCTGAATCAAATAGAATTGAAACTCTATTAAATTTAAATATATATATATAGTTTTCCATGCAGGTCATGATTACTTTACTAATAAACAACAGGTCATTTTTTACACTTATTTATAAGTATAAAACTATAAACTTACCTGACTTTTTCGAGACAACAACTTTGTTCTTCGAAATTCATTGACCTCCGGTTCTCTTTTGCTCTCCTTTTGTTCTCCTTTGAATCCAAAGGGTTGAAATTTAGCGTTCGCGGTCATCTGAACTAACACAGGCCTTTATAAGAGCTGAACGGCACATTTGTTATCTCGGAGCAACACTAACCCTCACCAAACCCGTGATAACGAATTCTTAATTTCAAGTTTTCCCACCACAATGGAGCACTACTCGTCCCTCAGAGGAACAGAAAGGCGAGAGTTGTCCAGTCATCGCACCTGTTCCGTCTGCGCATTCCGCGCTGATTTACGCGACCCAAATGTAGATCTCATTACTCACTTGAAAACCAGGTGATTACTTTCGCAGCTCTCTAAAATTCCGTCTCGACTTGTATCCTAATTAAACAACATTTGCTGAGCAATTTATTCAAGCAGTATGTTGAGTAATCACCAAGACTGTCGTCTCAGGCTTTCACTGGTTTAATAGGTAGGTCAGGCACGAACACGAGGGGAGCGGGTAGTAAGATTAGTAATATGAGCAAAGAAGATTTGAGGCTTAGCTCCGACCTCGAAACTGGCTCTTACGCGCAAATGGTTTCTTGTGCTCTTCTTTTATACCAACGCGCAAGTGTAGAACTGTGCAAATTTAGCTATTTTTGCAGTATTTTGATTGTGTAGCTTATTAGTAGTTGAAATTGTGTGTTGTTGCCAGAATCTGCTTTAAAATACAGGTTAATTTAAACCATATGCATACTTACAGAGACGGAAAATGAATGAATGCGCATGTATGAACATCAGCCGGAGTGATGCGGGCGGGGGTCTAAAGCTCTCATTTGTGCATGGTTGTGTGCCGAAGTGGAGTGGGTAATACCGTTTTCTTTTTTTTGATCTGACTCTAAAAACTAGCCTACTTTTGTTGTTACTCAGTTGGTTTAGTCATACAGCAAGTGATTTGATTATTATTTTAATAAAACAGTTTTAGGCTGCATAATTTGCTGAATTCCTCTTCATTTTTGGTGATGTTCGCCTTCAGGTTGATGATCGTAGAGCGCTCTGGTTGTCAAGTGTGATAAAATACATTCTTGTAAAATTCTTTGGAGTTCATAACGGTAATTGTAACCTTCTTTATCAGATGTAGGTCTAATGGTGAGGGCCTTTCATTGGTGTCAATAACACACTTTATAGTTCAGGCTCAAATTCAGTGTGCGCATCGTGCCGTGGAGTCAGAATTCAGCACACAAGCTCCGTGATCGCCTTTGGTTATTTATGGATTTTTTTTATTTAATTTTATTTTTCTCGCAAAATAACGTTCCTCTTTAAAGGAAAAGCTCACATTACAGCTGTTATGTTTATTAAATATTTTGCTTGGACACGAGAATATTCCAAAACATTGTTCATAAATGCTGCATGAGTTTGTAGGCTACTGTACTGTATGCAGGCTATTACTGCAGGTCTAGTGAGTGAACAGGAGTTTAGTATGAAAATGGTACATGCGTCATTTTTCAATTTCTCCATTTTTTTGGTCGAAATGTATTTATTTATTTATTTATTTATTTAAAAGACAGTTACATTTCTTACAAACTGGAACTTTAGATTAATTGATTTATAAAAGTCTTACTGTGAAGGACTGCGGATACAGTTGAGAATATTATGAACTTCAAAAATATGAAACAACAGGTTGTATAACAAAATTTACAATAATCCCTGAACATATATTTCACTTTGTCTTTTTTTCTTAGCAAAGAAAAAAATACTTTAAAGGCATTTATAAATTATATGTTTTGTTATATTTGAGGTTTTGTGACTATGTATGTCTTTTGTGATGGTTTGAAAAACCACAGTGCATGCCAACAAGATACTGCGCCTCTCTGCTGTCATCTGAACCCCGTGTGGTTTGACCAAAGTAAAGACATGCATTGACAGCAGGATGTTAGAGATGAGGGTCTCATGAAACAGACACGTCCATTCACTGCAGTGACACTGTGACACAACAACATTGATATAAAACTAACATTTGACTGATACAAATTACTTACACAAATTAGTAAGATGGAACAAACATTATATTTTTTTGTATATTGTGGCAGTGCACTACATACTATTCCCATAAATAGCCAAACTGCTTGTATAATGACACACATTTTTGACCATAAATACAGGCACACATAATAGACACAAAATTAATGATATTCCTACTGGTGTGATGGATAGCATTTAGTCTCGTTTTGTTAATTGGTTTGTTAATTGGTTTGTTTACTGAGTTAACCAAGTTAACCAAAACTTGTTTGTAAATATCATTCCTGAATTGCTTAAATTTGTAAGAAAATCAAAAATCCCTGACATAAAAAGCAGTTTTTATATCATGAAACTCTTTATACTCAGGACACATTTGAAGCAATAGATTTGATGTATTTATAGAATGTCATTTTAACCTGACATTGCACATATGTAGGTATTTGAAGTGCAGGGTGGAGAAATGTCTCAGACTCAGTAAGCGAGCGAAGGTGTGGGCGTTGAGCATTGGCCTTTCTTCTCTCACCATGCAGTTCTTTTCATCTCACACCCGTGTGGTTAGATCAAAACAACTGACTGCATTCAGAATTACAGCAGATTGTCACATGCAGTAGAGTTAACCGGCAAGAAGAACGCGCTCAGTCTGCATTGACCTTTCTGGATAAAAATCTGTAGATTTGTGCAACACAGAGAAAGCCACACTAACAGTGACTTTTTGGATGATATCTGAAATATATAAACCTGAGACATTAAACCTTTATTAGTCAAGAGCTCTTCTATGTTAGCAATACCATATGTGACCCTGGAGCACAAAAGCAGTCTTAAGTTGCTGGGGTATATTTGTAGCAATAGCCATAAATACATTGTGTGGGTCAAAATTATTGGTTTTTCTTTTATGCCAAAAATCATTAGGATATTAAGTAAAGATCATGTTCCATGAAGATATTTTGTAAATTTCCTAATATAAATATATTAAAAATAATTTTTTTGATTAGTAATATGCATTGCTAAGAACTTCATTTGGACAACTTTAAAGGCGATTTTCTCAATATTTGGATTTTTTTGCACCCTCAGATTCCAGATTTTCAAATAGTTGTATCTCGACCAAATATTGTCCTATCCTAACAAACTATACATCAATTGAAAGCTTATTTATTCAGCTTTCAGATGATGTATGAATCTCAGTTTCGAAAAATTGACCCTTATGACTGGTTTTGTGGTCCAGGGTCACATATCATCACAATGTCCTTTTCGGCCTCTGACTTCATTAAGTAGGGTTATGTCTTGGCAACCAAAACATGTATGGAATAGCCTTGGCAGACTGACATATTGTATTTCCAAGAAACTATAATAAAGTAACAGAGGAGTGCATTAAGCAGTTCTTCTGACAGGCATGAAATACATGTAATATTGCCCCATGGCCCCATTTCCTGAAACAACAAATTAAACGTAAATAGCAAGTTATTTGATCTTGACAACATGTTTCTTGAAAGCATCATGGCCAATATAACTAATTAGCACCATCAAGAGCCCCAGACCATTGGGAAACTGTAATGAACAGTGTAAACAGGTCTTTCGATCCATGCACAGTCCCAGGTGTAGGCCTAGCTTTTGCACAAGTGGTTTATATAGGCAATGAGGGTCCACCCACTGGAGACTTGTAGTTTTCTTCTTTCTTGTTTTGCTTCTCATTGCAGGCCGTTTTTAAGTCAAACTGGGAGGCGTTTCATTGTATGATTGCCTTATTGAGGTACATCAGATATTATGGAATAGCCTTGGCAGACTGACATATTGTATTTCCAAGAAACTATAATAAAGTAACAGAGGAGTGCATTAAGCAGTTCTTCTGACAGGCATGAGATACATGTAATATTGCCCCATGGCCCCATTTCCTGAAACAACAAATTAAACATAAATAGCAAGTTATTTTATCTTGACAACATGTTTCTTGAAAGCATCATGGCCAATATAACTAATTAGCACCATCAAGAGCCCCAGACCATTGGGAAACTGTAATGAACAGTGTAAACAGGTCTTTCGATCCATGCACAGTCCCAGGTGTAGGCCTAGCTTTTGCACAAGTGGTTTATATAGGCAATGAGGGTCCACCCACTGGAGACTTGTAGTTTTCTTCTTTCTTGTTTTGCTTCTCATTGCAGGCCGTTTTTAAGTCAAACTGGGAGGCGTTTCATTGTATGATTGCCTTATTGAGGCACATCAGATATATTCTGCTAGACACTTGAAGATAAAGACATGGGTCCTTGGATGCATTGTTGGACTTTGCTATGTTCTTGCTTTTTTGCTTCACACAGTAAGTCTTTTGACATTTTGCCTGCATTTTCAGTTAAGAACATTATAAAAACAATATTTTTATTAGTTTAAAAAAGTTTAACTAATATTCTGACCATAATATAGAACATTCGGAACCATTTAAATGTGTTTTTATTATTATTTTGTTTTGCAGCTACTCACTCGTTCGTCTTGACCCAATCACCGGGACTCACACACGTCTCAGTCGGTGGTTCTGTAGAATTAAGATGTATATTTGAGCAGACCGTTAGGTACTGCTTTAATGCTGCTGCGTGGGAAAAGTTGAATCTACGGACTGGAAAACTCACGACAGTGAATACTAACCATGAGAATAAAGTTCGACAACATAATGATAAAACTTGCGTTTTGACTCTTAAAAACGTAACCAAGAAAGATTCAGGCATGTATTATTGCATTGGCCATTATAACCAAATGGCTATGATTGGCAATGGGACCAGGGTGATGGTAACAGGTAAATCTGCAGTGAAATCTCATCACACTTTTTCTAGGGTCACAGTTACTAAAACAAAACATTTTGACTTTCTGTTCTCTTATATAGATCACTCTGAACCAGAACTCTCCATCTTATTCTCACCACATGAACCGGACTCACCATCGGTATCGCTGCAGTGTCTCGTGACTGGACTTGTCCCGTCTCAGGTGCGTGTCTTCTGGATGATTGGAGAGAATGTGCTTTCTGGATGGACCGAGTCCGGCTGGACAGACGACACTGATTCAGCCACAGAATTCACACGGGCTCATCTCTCTGTTCCTGCAGAGGACTGGAATGAAGCTGATCAAATTCACTGCTTTGCTGAATATGATGGCAAAAACATCTCCAAAACTCTGATGCGATACAGTGCGTAAATGATAACAATTTCAGAGAAACATCAGGAAAATGGACAGGTCCACCCCTGTTATTGTGGACTTCTCTGTAAAAATATCAATCCACTAAAAAATAAAAAGTAAAAAAATCTTAACCTTAAAACTTAAAAATTCAAGTATTTTTTTTCTGCTACTACTTTACAAATTCATTTTGAATTTGAATTAAAAGCTACAGGAGAAAGACTCTAAAAACTCATGAAGACTCAAGTTTGTGACATGTTAAATGAATGGAAAAAAATGTTATAGCTTATCATGATGAAAACACTGCCCAATGGTTATTAATGAATTTATATCTATATCTAGTTATAATTCCTCTGCTCACTGCTGTATTTCAGGACCCGAACCTGAAATCTTCTCGTGGCTTGTGTACGCCAGCTGTGTGGCAGCGCTCCTTACCATACTTCTAACCGTTATTATGTCTGTGGGATTATACCGAGGTAAGAATTTATCGCTTCTGGTTTTGTAGGCCTAGCCTACATTGTTGCAAATACTAAAAAGTAATAAATTATATTTTATAATAGTTTGAACTCTGAACAGTTCACAACTGCCTCTAAAATGAGTTTTGTCTTGCTGGATGTGTCTTTGGCAGGTTCGTTTGATTGCATGAGTTAAGTTTCCTGACAATAAATAAAGCATATAATCTTTTATGTTCACAATGTTGATTAGCATGACAGTAAAGAGGACAAAATGTTGGCATACATATATGACAAGTTTTTATTTAGTTAGTTAGTTAGCATTGAAATAAGTATTTACCAAGTCAGTAGTCTTTTACTTATACAAAATCTTTCAAAATATTCATGTGCTAGTTCATATATTGGAGGAAATATATAGGCTATAAATGTGCACAATTCAAAAACATACACAGAACCAAAAATTATTTATATATGAGTTTTAAAACTATAGTAACATCAATCAATAACTTCGCATGAATTAAAATAAAAGGCGCTCTGATGAATACTTTGGTGAAACTGTCCAGCTATATATTCATATCAATCATTTTATTTTCTCCATTTCAATTCTCAGATATGTTGATGACCAAAAAATCCAGACGGTCGGTATTACAACATTACAAACTTCAAAACTATACTATTAATGTAATACAAAGTAAATGAACCAAACCTTAAAATGTATTTCATTTTAGGCTCACAAGAAAAGATGCCCACCGCAAACCTTCATATGGTAAAATGACCTTTCTAAGCTAGAACTGTATAGCCTAATGTGATATACTGCATTTAATAGCTACACACGATCTGCAATAATAGCTATACTACATTAAAAAAATTGTCAGTAAAAAACAAAAACAAAACAGCAAACAAATGAATGTCTTTAACAGGCAACCAGAACACACTGAGAGAAGAGGGTTCATCTGTTATGGTAAGAGACAGAAATGAAGATTGTGAATATTGAAGTGGATCACTGAAGTTATTTTTCTGCATGTCTGTTTCTGCCGTTTCAGAACAACTAGCTAAATAATAAACAATCTTCAAATATGTATCATACAATATGAACACAGTTTGATGTAGTAATATTTAATTTATTGACAAAAAAGTTTTAAGTACATGGTTAATTGAAGCAATTTATGTTTAAACAATTAAAATTGTTTTTGCCTGTATTTTTCATGAAACTTATTTGAGAATGCAATGTGGGGTATGTTACTTTTGTTGGTGATATTGGTAAACGTTTTAGCTTCAGTTAAGTACCTAAAAAAAAGTAAATAATTAAATAGTGGTTATAAAAAAGCGGTATATAAATTAAAAATGTGACTTGCACTATTTTCTAAATCTTCTGAAGTCATGTGATATTTTTGTATGAGGAACAAACTTAGACTGAAAATATTTGGCATTGTTCTCCTCTATATTTTAACTGAACGCAGGCACTCCCGTTCAAATGTGTAGAATAGAAAATTAAAGATTTTTAGTAATGATGGCTTAAATTTTGGTCTGTTCCTCATAGTTTTAATCTTCAAATGATTTGGACTATAGCATTTTGTATCACTTACTTTACTTTACTTAGGAGATTGACAGAGGTAGTCATGAATGTCATGGAATTAAAAAAAAAATTGTGTGGAGATTCTTTAAAAGTGTTCTTTTTTATTACATGGCTCTCTGACTGGTCAATTGTGGCACTGAGCACTCAATATTTTTCATTATTCATTATATTTATTCATTAGCAAATAATAATAGAGCAAACTGTTCCTTCAAGCAAACACACAACAGATTAAATAATAATAAGAGCGTGAGAAAGTTGCAACTTTTTGTTGGGGAAAAAATGCTTTGACAAACTTTTAATTAAAAATAACCTGTTGCTAATTTTATATACCGGTTTGCATTTTATGATGTTAATATTTTGTCCAGTGTTTCTCTGGGGATCCCATCAGTCAGAGACAGGATGTTGGTCCATCAAAACAATAAAGGTAATGCAAAAGCAGAATTAAAGGAATTATATGAAACAGCAAAGTACACTTCCAAAGTAATTAAACTTACAAGGTAACACTTGTAAGGATCATTCTCACATGGACTTGAGATTTTCTTTCCTCCTTTTTTCAGTGTGGAGAAGGAAATGTTGCAGTATGCTAAACAATTACTAAAATTTAAATTTTAGAAATTAAATATATTGTTTACTCATATACCTTAAAACAATAAGATTGCCTGTTATTGTTTTTATAATATCCATGGTCATGAGTATTTATTAGTTAGGAACTATTTCTTGTAATTTTTTAAGTTTGCTTTTTTTTATTATCTTGTTTTTTTTTCTAATAAAAATGTGTCCTCCTGAAAATGGGGTTAATATTGTCTCTCTGTAGGAGACAGATATACATATAATTTTCTGTTGACCAAAGTGTTTCTGCACTAAAGTACATGAAGCAGCACAACCATATTCAACACGTATCATAACAGTAAATGTTTCTTGAGCCGCAAATCGGCAAATTAGAATTGTTACTGAAAATTCTGTCCTACATCCCTGATGTGTGCAGCACAGAACAGATCAGCTTTTCTTTGCAAAAGTGGCCCAGTTGCCCATCAAATTAAAATACATCTTATAGTAATGTCACTTTTTATCATAGATAATAATGCAGGCAACGTATGTTTGAGATTGTGTTCATATTCTATGTATACATGAAGCAGCACAACCATATTCAACACGGATCATAACAGTAAATGTTTCTTGAGCCGCAAATCGGCAAATTAGAATTGTTACTGAAAATTCTGTCCTACATCCCTGATGTGTGCAGCACAGAACAGATCAGCTTTTCTTTGCAAAAGTGGCCCAGTTGCCCATCAAATTAAAATACATCTTATAGTAATGTCACTTTTTATCATAGATAATAATGCAGGCAACGTATGTTTGAGATTGTGTTCATATTCTATGTATGCAATTTTTTATTTTTTATGATGGGGTGAAAAACCACAGTGCATGAAACAGGAAAATGTATGGCCTCTTGTTGTAGCCTTCATACTCCCATTTGTCAGCTTGTGGTTAAACAGAAGTTGCATAACAGGATGTTAGATGAGACAAAGATCTCATGAAACAGAACTGCACACCTGCTTGCACTGTCCATTTTTGCAGCAACTCCACTGGCATTACTTAAACTGTTTGTATGATGCCTTTGTATTGTCATATAATGTCCTCCATCCCTACACTGTAAAAAATGACGTGAATTTAACGGTAAAAGACTGTAAAAATGCTACAGTAAAAACCTGTTAAATGGTTAACGGTAAATTCCCCTACTATATACGGTGAAAAACTGTATTGGACATTACATGTATTGGACATTAATTTTACGGTAGCGGTTTTTTACCGTAAATTTTACAGAATTTTTTTTACAGTGTACAGTATGTAAATGACCACATCACTGAGAGTGTTATGAAATACTCAGATGATAAATAAAATGAATCTGCACATCCGAATTAACAAAGCATTCAAAATAGAAACATTGTGTACATAATGAAAAATGGGTTAATGTTGACATATTGACATATAAAGTTGAATTAAAGCAAAATTGTGCATAGCTATTACAATGACTACCTATGTTTTCTCTTTTGTATTATGCAGATTTAGAGATCTTAGTGAATGTGAAATCTGAATTAAGAAAGCAATATCATTTTTGTATTTCTAATTGTACATTATGTGTTAAATGTGTTAATATTCCCATTTATATTGGTAAATTGTCAAGCTTAAATGAATAGTTGACCCCAAAATTTACAATTTTGTCATCATTTTCATACACAACGATTTTATGTTCAACATTGACAATAAACAACACTGCATGGACAAAATACATTCCACGGGAGAAAGCAAGTCATTTTTCATTTTCATATTCGGGTGACCTGTTTTAACATGAAGTTACATAATTCATATATTCACTAGCTTGACATTGCACATAGAAGTAGCTGTCTGGAGTGCAGGGTGGAGAAAGAGTACTGTCAGTTTGAAGGTGTGGGCGTTGAGCATTGGCCGTTCTTACGCCATGCTGCTCTTTTCATCTCACACAAAACAATGACTGCATTCAGATTGTAAAAAGATTGTCAGAAAGCAGAGTTAACCAGGAAGAAGAACATCTTCTCAGCTTGCAACGGAAAACACAAACAATTCAATTAAAAGAATTGAACACAGTAGAAACAAATCTGTAAAAATAGGGTACAATGTTGAAGAATTGCGTTGTGTTTTTAGGGTGAACAGAACTGTCTGTAAAATTAATGGATAACGTCCTGAAAGAAAATTACCACACTGTAAGCCAAAAAAAAAAAAAAACGTAGAAAATGTACTGGTAATTTTCTGCCAGGACATTATCCAATAATTTAATGGACATTTCCGTTAACTCTAAAAGACAACACAATTCAGTGCAAAATTCAAAATACTGGTAAAACACCTGTAAAAAGTCAATACAGAAAATTCCTTCATATTAATATATTTTTTTATAGATTAATACATTACTACATTAATACTATTAATACTTTTCCATTTTTATTAATTGATTGATGTATTTATTTATTTATTTTACAGTAGATTATTTGCTGAAATATACTGTTTGTGCTAAATGCCCATAATTTTTGGAGAACTTGTCTCTGTATTAGAGTTGTGTGCCATTCTGAAATGAATTTGGGATACTTTTGAAATTCCAGTTCAGTTCCTGAATTTGCAGAATTGCAATAGGTTAAGAGCAAAAAAGTATAGAATACATCAGCAAAACATGGCCTAAGAACTTCATCAAACAGTATTAGTGGTGAGATAAAAGCTATATTAAACCATAACCACTTCTACAGTATGTGAAACATAAAACTGTTAGTGAGTGCTACTTTGCAGTCTGTTTGCAAAAACAAATATTATCATCATAGTAAGTTCCTTTAACTTACAGAGTCTCTGATTTGCAACATAAATAGACCTTTGCCCCACTTTTGCTATAGGAAGGGCCACCCTCTGGTGAGTTTTTTCCCTTGCGGTTTCAATCAAACTCTTGTGTACTGACACCTTGTTGCATTAAGATTGTGTGAGGTACTGGTGATGTTAAAAGGTGCATCAGAGCCTTGAAACCGTTAATATGCGTACCTGGATGTGCTGTTGGATTTTATGCATTTCGTCTGTTCTAAGTAAGCTCATTATCAATCTCATCACATTAATCTTATGCTCATTACCTTATTATTTCATCATGCAGATTATTCGCTGTGAACCTGTTTTTATTTTCTCATTTGCAGCTACTCACTCGTTCGTCTTGACCCAATCACCGGGACTCACACACATCTCAGTCGGTGGTTCTGTAGAATTAAGATGTATATTTGAGCAGACCGTTAGGTACTGCTTTAATGCTGCTGCGTGGGAAAAGTTGAATCTACGGACTGGAAAACTCACGACAGTGAATACTAACCATGAGAATAAAGTTCGACAACATAATGATAAAACTTGCGTTTTGACTCTTAAAAACGTAACCAAGAAAGATTCAGGCATGTATTATTGCATTGGCCATTATAACCAAATGGCTATGATTGGCAATGGGACCAGGGTGATGGTAACAGGTAAATCTGCAGTGAAATCTCATCACACTTTTTCTAGGGTCACAGTTACTAAAACAAAACATTTTGACTTTCTGTTCTCTGCTATAGATCACTCTGAACCAGAACTCTCCACCTTATTCTCACCACATGAACCGGATTCACCATCGGTATCGCTGCAGTGTCTCGTGACTGGACTTGTCCCGTCTCAGGTGCGTGTCTTCTGGATGATTGGAGAGAATGTGCTTTCTGGATGGACCGAGTCCGGCTGGACAGACGACACTGATTCAGCCACAGAATTCACACGGGCTCATCTCTCTGTTCCTGCAGAGGACTGGAATGAAGCTGATCAAATTCACTGCTTTGCTGAATATGATGGCAAAAACATCTGCAAAACTTTGATGCGAAGCGGTGCGTAAATGATGAAAGTCTCAGAGAGACATTAAAATGTTACACGTTATTGCCCTCTTTTATCTCTTTATTTGCAGAATTCTAAAAACAGACTAATTGTCAAAGTAACTATAAACGTTTTGATTTCACAGGATTGTTTTCTTTTTCTTTTTTTTTCGGGCAGTGGTTTTGTGTGTTTATTACAAACACCTGTCAAAACCCTGATTGAATAGTTCAAATTGATTTGAATATTTAGAACAATTTTTTTTCATTCTGTTCTACAAATTATAATTACATTTAAATGTTATATCTGTCGTGTAAACAAGTGAACAAAATAAAACATTCTCATACATACAGGCGAGATATATTAGGTCAATAAAAAGAGGCCCAAAGACTGAAGACTGTGTTCATAGAGTCCTGTACATGCAAAATCATATGTGTATTAATTATAAATTGTACTCTGATCATAGTCAATCTTTCAGGACTGTATCAAAAAACTCTGTGGATTCTGTACTGTGGCTGGGGAACAGTATTCCTGACTATGGCTGTGGTCTTCTCTGTTTGTTTATGCCAAGGTAAAGATTTTATCAATCTGGAAACCTGTTTAGTTGCTATAGTGACCATTAAGGAACAGAACTGGGTAGATTACTTACAAATTGTAATTCATTACTGATTCCAAATTACATGACAAAAATTGTAGTTAGTAACGTAATCCATCACATTTCAAGTAATATAATCTGACGACTTTTTGATTACTTTTGACCTAACTCGTTTATCACATTGATTTAAATAGGATAACCTTGTAGCATATTAATATAAAAATACAAAGAGTAAGAAAATATATTCAATTCGTTGTAGTTAACACCATTAAACATTACATTATGTCAAGGTTTCCCAAACTGGGGTTCGTGAAGATACTGCAGGGGGTTCGTGAGTTTAATGAAAAGCTAATAATTAATTAAATCATAAAAATGTCAAATTAAAATAAATCATTATTTTAAAATAACATCAATCAAAATAAAACACTTAAAAAAAAAAAATTCTTTATCTACACAGATGCAACATTTTAAACTGCTTATCTGTTGTCATCTTTAGCCCTTTCTGGTAAATACATTCTTATATTTCTGGTTATCCTGGGGACACTGATTCTGCTCTCTTTGCTCATCTCCATCAT